TATGTAACGATGTGCATTTTCGTGGTTACGCAAAAATTCTGGAAAACACCTGGTCACAAAAAAAAAGATTTTTTTTTCAGCGATGAGCGTGTTCGGGAAAATATTTGGTGGTGGCAAGAAGACGCAGGCGCCACCAGCGACACCACAAGAATCGATACAGAAATTACGGGAAACCGAGGAGATGCTTGTCAAAAAGCAGGAATTCCTGGAAAAGAAAATAGAAGCTGTAAGCCGCTTCCACCTACCCTTTTTTTTTGCTTTTTTAAACTAGTCTAAAAAGAGGCAATAATTTTTGCTGTCCCTAGTCAAAAAAAGAGACTTTTTTTTAACCAAAAATCAGAATTTCCGTCATATTCGCTGTTTTAAAAAAGTGCAGGCACTCGGAAATAGCTCGAATGGTTTTCACGAATAGTATATTTTAGCAATTTTCAGCATCAGATTTTATCAAAAAATTCTTAAATTTGGCTAAAAATCATGAAAGATGGCGCAAAAAAGCACTAGAATTTATGGTCCCAAGGCCTGGCATAACTGCATCTGACATGTAAAAAAAACCCCAGTGAAATTATTAACATAGGATTCTTCCATCGATTTTCAGGGCGATCTTGGTATTTTTCTGTGTTACAGGAAGTAGCATCAGCAAGGAAGCATGGTACCAAAAATAAGCGGCTAGCTTTACATGCATTGAAACGGAAGAAACAATTCGAAAAGCAACTTCAACATATCGACGGGGTATTGTCCACAATCGAATTCCAACGGGAAGCCCTGGAAAATGCGTCGACAAATGCCGAAGTGTTGCAAGTGATGGGTTCGGCTGCAAAAGCACTGAAAACAGCGCACAATGATATGGATGTGGATCAGGTAAAAATGCGATGGTTTTGCATGAGATCACGTCGATCACGTACGTCGATTTACGCCGGTTGACGTCAGTTCACGTCAGTTTACGTCAATTCACGTTTGGAAAGCCATAGGCAATATAATCATAACGGGTTTGCGAAAAAAGGAAAATATGTATAATGTGTATTTATATATTTACGTCATTGGTATGTTCTGACCATTTCTTCAAAATTGCTCTATTTGGGCTCTTTGATTGTGCTTTTATGATTTATGTTTTTTGTTTTTATAGTGAAGTGTGTGCATGAAAGTATGTACATGAATTGTGTTTGATGAGTGATATAAGTGAAGAGAGTGAGTACCAGCGTGATATGATGTAGTACTCTGTGGCTGTATCTTCAAAATTGGTCTGTATTGTAGCACTTTAATTGTACTTTTATGATTTATGTTTTTTCTTTTTTTTTTTCTT